TTTTAAATATGAGCAAATGCAATATAAATGTTTATTGTCACCGACAAATTTAACAAATATGTCTTTATTGTTGTTCCTGTGCTGCAGGTAAATAATAAATGAAAGACATTTCATTTAAACTACAAACAAAAGATTATATACATACATACGTACATGTATTTGTGTCAATTATACACAACTAGTATTCTTACCGTCTCTGAGAACAACACAGACACGTACATACATAGAACAGCTATGAATAAAATAACGTACAGACAATTTGTCTGTTGCAAGATAAACTCTTTTAGTTTAAAACTAATATGTGCCAAGTTTTTTATACGTTATTGCCAAAAACTACTGGCAGATAAGTTATAATAGTTATGTGAATTTATTTCATTTCCAAATAATGAAAAAACTGCAAATTTATGGCAATGTGTTTAAAATATGCAAATATTAAACCGGCAAGCGCTGTAGTTTCAAAGTATAAGTAGAAGAATATATAATTTAAAACAATGTTGCAGTTGCAACTATTTTTAAGTATGAAAAATTAATCTGTTGGGTTTCCCAACTAGTATGCTATCAAGATAAAAATCTCATTTAATTTATTTAAGTTTATTATGCAACTTAAATCTTACAACGATTTGCACTCAATCTACTGTACTGTCTTTTAACGTTTCGGATTCTTTTCCTGTCTTTGATATATCGAACCCAAACAAATCCCTGTTCTTATTCATGGAATCTAAGAATCTTGAATACATACTTATATTAAGTAACATAATCTGTCCCACTGTGCAAACTTAAGACTTATCATGATACGAAATGAAAATATACACACAAAACCCAAACAAAATGTTAAAAGTAAAATAAATGAATATCAGCTTCAGGTAAAATGTAAATTTAATGAGTTTCAAGAGATTTAAAATGTAACACAATTTCAGTTTTTGCACTTACTTGTTTTTTCAACTGCAACAAGAGAAATTTTTAACAATTGCATTGCTTTTGTATTTTTTTTTTTTTTTTTTTTTTTTTTCATTACATAGGTATTCTGTAGAATTTTATGATTTATACCAACCATACTCAGGTTCAAAAGCCCAAAAGCTCAACAAGGACACCTTAAGATGTACCACTTTAAAAGCTCATGTAATTCATCATATAAATAAAATGTTCTACAATTTACTTTAACTAAGAAAGCATTTTTTTATATATAATTTAATTTAATTAAATAAATAATAAAAATGTATTAATTCAAAGAACTAACTTAGTTCTCATATAGTATTAATTTATCTTCTGAAATATTCACAAAAATTCCACTAGGTTAAACTTTTCAGTAACAAATATATCTTTAATTTATTTTATTCTTCTTTAAAACTATAATGTTTGCTGGGTTATTAAAAAAATCTCTTAACTATCTTAATTGAAAATTGTGTTTGCCAACTAAAAGTTTCTTATGTAACATACAATGAAATTCCGGTAAATCTCAATTAAAAACATAAACGTAAAAAAACGTAAAATAAACTGTGAATATATTTTTTTATTTTAAAAATTAACATGAGTGTCCTTAATGCAAATTGGCAGTGTGAAAGATAAAAAGTAAAACCCAAAGACTAAAGATGACAAGTCAATGCAAGTTGCTAGCAAGTTAAGGCTGTAAATTAAATAATTCATGCAGATATAAAATCTGCAGGATTCATTTTAAACTTGTAGCTGTCTGCCACAAATTAAAACTGAAGAGATTTTCTTTGTTTTTTCTTCTTTTTTATATTTTAATTTTTTTACGTTAAGAGTCTGAAAAACTACTCTTTAGCCATTAGCATTTAATTAAAAGTTACCGTTTTAAATAGAGTATAACTTATATTCCTTTGCATATCATTTTTTCAAGAAATATTCCAAAAACATCTTAAGTAAATAGTTTTTCCTTTAATGTGTTTATATTAAAATCAGATAATTGTAGATTCTTGCAGAAAAAATCCAATTTGATTGATTGAATGTAATGTAGATTTTTCTTATTATTAAACAACATTTAATAGGATTTAATAGCGTCAGTTAAGCAAATAATATTGAAAAAAAGAAGAATAAATAAATTTTCTTAAAATTCTCAAAGAACCCACCGTAATTTTTTTCTATTTATGTAACTAAAGAAAATTTCTTTAATTTAGCAAATTTTTATTTTGGCACAAACACTGCTTGCATTAAACTTATGCACAAATTGTCAAACACTGAAACTTCTCAAAAACAAAGCACTATTTAAAATTTTCTTAGTTCTTATTACATTTATTTCAAATGCATTTATTTCTTTTTTTCATTATAATTTTCCAAAAAATACATATACTAACATAATCTCAACCATCTATTACTTACTAACTAATAATAAAACACAAAAACGTCAACAACTACAGCTAGAAACTAACCAAAAACTATAACAAAAAAAATCTATTTATTAATACACAGACAAGCTTTTTCCCTCTTACTGTTCACTATTGGCTAAAAATTTGTTTTATTTAAATATTTTGCCAAACAAGAAATAAACAAACATTTACAACAATTATTTTTAAAGGCTAAACTAACATGTATTTTTTCTCTCTCTCCTCCCTATTGCTATTAAGCAAATCATTTTCTTTTTATCAATTAATATCACAAACATTTTTTTTTTATAAAATTTTAATATGTAAATATTTATAAATGATGACTAATACATATACATATATTTACACATTTTTTCAAGAACAAATTCATACTCATTTAAATGTAGTTTTTATATATATTTTTAAAACTATTTTTACTTAATTTCGTAATAAAATAATAATTGCAATTAAAAATATAGAATACAATTAATTAATTCCATTTGTGACAAGTTTATAAGTATATGCATAATTTTTTGTTGAAATTTTGTAAATTTTTTAAAACGTTTTAAAAAATAAACTTTTTAGACAGCAGATTGAAAATTTACAAACAGCCCTATACGAATACGTAATGTTTAACATGAAGAAAATAAATCATACGCATGGGTGTACTACAACTTTCACTAAAATGCATAATATTAAGGACGTTTCGCATTTGTGCTTATATTTGTAAATATTAAGAGTATATGCATATAAATAAAAACTCCCAATCAACTTAGCAATAGTTTCCCAGTTGACATAACCATGCCCGTCAGTCTGTCCATCCAGATATATCTTATATTCTAAGGAACAATAATAACCTTAAAGTTACAATTTTCATAATAATTTAATGAGATTTGGACACAATGGTTATCTGTTCTTCCAATAAGGAATTCTTTCTAAAAATTACTGCCTAAAAAAGTATGCAAAACTAACTTTGCTCTATTCCAACCGATTCAATACAACTTAACACAACTTTAACATTCTTACACAAATGGATTTAATTTAAAAAATATAAACTTAACTAAAAATAATAATAAAATTAAAAAAATTCTCACAATGTCACCATATTCATAACTAACTCCACTTACCATCACTCGCCTTTTACTTTGGTTGTTAGTAAATGTTGATGTATATATTTTTGTTAGAAAAGGTCAATTGTACCTCCGCAAAGTATGCTAAATAAAATGAATTCTAATACAAAATTTCTATTAATATTAAACAAATAATATGCATTATTATTAATAATATTAATAAACCTAATAAAAGATATTTTATTTAAAAATAAAATAAAAATACTGTAATGATAACCACACATAATATTATTGTGTTTGTGTGTATATTGCAAATTTAAAAAAAAAATTAACAATTATCATTATACATTATAGTACTATTCTTATTATTGTTTGTATTATATTCTAAACATACTACAACTATCATAAGATGTGCTTATTATTGCTGTTTCCATTACTCAATTTCTTTTTACAGAACTGAAAAATCAAATAGAAACGCAAGTAAATGAGCTAAAAACCCAAATAGAGGGAAAATGCGTCATGCAGTGATATGTCAACATAATATATATAATATAAAGAAAATAATTAAAATAAAACATATATATATATAATTTATATATTAATAACAAAATAATAATAATAAAGAGAAGAAACAAATTAACATAACAAAAGATAATATTCATAATAAAAGTATAACAAAATAAATAATTACCATAATATCTATACACAAAGAATGATTAATAAATTTAAAATAAATTAATTAAATGGCGGATTATATATATATACACAAAGAGATATATACATTATTATATATATATATAATAATATGGAAGTAAAACTGCTGAATTTGCATGAAAACCAAATAAGGCTACATATATATAATAAATAAATAAACACTTTACATAACCGACAAAAACAAATATATATACATATACAATAGTCTATACAAAACATTAACAAAATATATATATATACAAAAGAAATCTCTATATATATATAGACATACATGTATCATATGTATATAACCAAGTTATACTGAGACAAATAAAGTAAAATCCAATTAACACAACAGCACTACTACTACAACAACAATACTTATTATTGGGGTAACCAAATATATACATACATATAAAAGTTCAACTTTTATCTTAAATAATAAATAACAACTGGATATTTAACCCCCCCCCAAAAACAAAACAACAACTAAATAAAATATTATAATAACTGAACAAAAGTTTAAATAGTAACAAATCTTTAAAAGAAAAACTTAACTTAACCTCTTATAAACAAAAGTAAACGAAACCAAAAGCTGGCTAACCTTATGCATCTTACAAAAACAACAACTACTACCACCATCACACCACTATTACTACAACTAAATACAACTTTAACTAATTATTATATACAAAAAAAAAAAAACAAAAACAAAGAAACAAACAACCGGAAACAATTATGTTACTCTACCATAGCTAAATTAACCAAAGATCTCTTACCAATTTATGTATTTACAGACATATATACAACTTTGACAAAACCGTTATTTTTATTGGCTCTCCTAATAAAAGCAAATCTGTCTCAAACTCACCTGCTTATTAGTAAAATAAAAACGGTACTTTTAACTTAATACACTAATACCTAGAAGAAATCTCTAAACAGAACATAACAACAACAGCTGCTGCTTAAATATGTGCTCTTTCTCTCTCTCTCTTTTTAATAAACTAAAGCTCTTTAACCGATATATATTTTGTAAACCAAAGTTAAATAAATTGTCCGTTATTTTTTGAAAAATATGAAGTTAAACAGAAGCACTGCGTTTAAGTAAAGTAATAAAATTAAACAAAAAAATAAAATAATTTAATAAATAAAGCCTTTAAAACAAAATTTAGATGAAATTTATGAAAATCATTTAAACAAAAATAATTTAAATTAAATATAACAAACAAAATATTAAGAAAATCTTAACAAAAACAACGTTAAAGTAAATTTTAGAAGAAAACCAAAACCCTTAATAAAATAAATTTATTAAAACAGACAAACATTTTTAGTAAAAAATAACAAAGCATTACTTAGGCTGTTAACAAAAATTTGAAAAAAAAAACAACATTAAAAATTTCGATGAATTGTATTATGAAAAACAAAATATTTAACAAAAAACCTAGTTAAGTTAAATTAAAAAAATTTGTTTGTTTACTTTCCTGAAAACAGCTGCTAATCTGTTAATTACTCTAAAATAGTTATGGTTTTTATTTTGTTATTAATTTTTCTTACTAAACTATTAAACTTTTATTAAATTATATAACTCTTTTCTCTCTCTCTCTTCTTTTGATTTTGTACTCTGAGATATGAAATTTTGTTAACAAACTTAATCTTTGGTATTGATGATTTTAATAAAAATGTAAGTAAATCCGATTTAATTTTTAAATTAACTATTATACATAAATGCTATTCGTTAAAGAAATGCTTTATAATTATATTAAAAAAAAAAAAAAAAAAACATATTGAATTATAGTTTTTTTTCTTTAATTTTTTTATTTAATATCATTACATATCAAATTATCAAATATGAATTGATATAAAATTTTAATTTTTTATTTAATATTGGATAAATGCTCTATATCTCCATTTACACTGTTGTATAACTCTGCAAAACATATAAGTAATTATATATTATTTAATTTATTAAATAATATACATAAGCTTCTATTCTTAGCATTCTTTTAATTTTCTAGAGATTGTGAATAAAATAAACTTTAAAAAGAAAAAAAATTTTGATTGATAACTAAGTTGTTTCAGAATAAACTTCATCAAAACTTCAATAGGATCTGTCAAAAGACTACATAAATTACACAGGCCAACGAAATGAAGGTTTGTGAAAACTTTTAAAACCAATTGGACTATTTTTAATGTATTTTTAGCTGCTGAAACCGAATCTGATATCTGTTTTTTTCTCGCAAAATGCCATTAAATACTTTGTTTATATATTACGAAAATTTTTTTGTAATTATTAAAATATATTTACGTTTAAGGGTTAACTTGAATTTTCTCGATGTCATCATAAATATGGCTCTTCATTATATACTTATCCTAAGTTTCATTTAAACCGGTTGAAAGCAAAATAAAATTTCACTATTGTTTCAAGAAGATTTCCCAATATTGCATAGCTTAAGTTTGACCTTCCCAGTTTGTGGGTTAACATTATTCGAATTTACGGAAACTTCAAACGCATATTTCCTATTATTTTAAATTATATATTCTTTAAAAGTTTATATAAAATGCATATCAGTAAAGAATAAAGCCAGTTTATCAAAAATGTTAACAAAAATAATTTTCTCCGAAATCCTCAAAATTCTAATCGCACTTACCGCTAATATGTGAGAGATATCGATCTAATTTCTTTACTATTTTATTCCCTTCTTTATTGTCCATAAGTCACATGGAGATTTTCTTAAAATTTTAAAATTTACTTAACAAAATTGGTAAAAGTTTAAAACTGGATTTTTGAAACTGCCGTCTGAAGGGCAGTTTCTAAATTGGATACCCCAAATACGATTTACGCTATCCAACGAGGATAAAACACACATTTAAGTAAATAGGAATATATTTAATATAATGATATGGTTTTATTAAAAAAATTTCAAAATTTGATAATAATTTTTAATTATTTCTCATTAAAGCGTTTTGTGACACTAAATGATCAGGGGAATTTGTAACTTTTAAAATTTTTGACCGATTTTTGCATTTTATATATATTGGAACAATAATTGAATATATTTCCAATTATTTACTATTAAAATCAAAAAAGATAAATTTAGTGCAGAAATTGTTGTAAAAACCTTTTTCCCCTTCAGAATTAACAGGTGCCACCAGTTAAGGTGGTCTTATCGCGCTAAATTTTCCAGAATGCATTTCTATAACTTTAAGTATAAGTCTAGCGGCAGAGACGACCACTATTTGCAACTTCTATGAAATTACCGAATTTTATATTTGGAACTAAAGTACACAGTCAAAAGGACTAAAAGAGGACTCAGTTTACCTGACAACTGATCTATATGTTTTGACTTTTAAATCGAATTACAGATTTGTCCAGAATAATGGTTTTCCAAAATAATCATCACCACAATATCACTAATTGATCGTAACAATCGTGTATATCATATGTGTATATCTATTAGGTGACAAATTTTAAATAAGAATTAATGTATTGTCACTGCTACTTAATCCTGAATTTATATCAGGTTTTTTTTTCAAATACATTACAAATTGATATTAGGTGAAATATTTAAAAGCTTTCCATACAAGTAAATGAGCAAATGAAAGTTCAGTTAGTTAATTAATTTGAAAGGAGGTCGTATAATTCGAAGAAATACACCTAGGCCTCTATCGGGCCTAATGTGCGCTCCTTTACAAGAGCCTCCGGTGGGAATCGAATCCACCACCTCCGTTCTAACAGACTAAAACACTAACCTATCGCAGGACAGCTTCAAAGTTTAATCAATCAAAAATTATGAAAATAAAAAGTTTTTCTGCAATCTAATCTTCAAAATGAAATTCAAAAAATAATTTTAATTTTACTAATTATATCTAAAATATATTATACAAATATATGGCTAACAATACAAACTTCTAATGCTGCTTTCTATACAAAAAGTTATCTCTTGTTTTTCTCTATAAACAACAAAACTATTTCTTCAGCAATATTTCATTTTCCTTTACAACACACTAAAACATATTTTCTCTCTAACTTTATTCGATAGTACACTGTAAGAAATACATTGTTTTAAACTTACAATTTCGCCAACAAAACAAAAATCATAAACTTTTGTTAGTTATTAACACAATCTTTCAACATTTGTAAATAAAAATTCAATCGCAACATAAAAAAAAAAACAAATGAATAACTCAATTATTGGGAAATATTTACAAATAGCTAAAGCAGATTTGTGATAAGAAAATAGTTACATAAAAAGAAAATAATTATAAAAACAAAAACATCCATAGAACTAATTTCAGAGAGATTTTAAGTAAGGAGTAGCATTTTTTTCAAAATGAAATAGATACAATTTTGTGCAAAAAGCTGTGATAGTTTTAAAAAGTTGAACATAGCTAAACAACAACAACAATAAACAATTGCACTTTAGTTAAAATAAATAAAAAATAAATAGTAAACAGCATGCGAGTAAATTGCACTTAAAGAAATAAATTAAATGAACAAATTGCCCTTAAAAAGAACTAAAGCTAAAAGTAATAAATAAATTGACAATGTATAAAATTGAGTTTTGGCTTAAAGAAATTAAGGTTTTCTTTCTCATAGAGCAAATTTAGTAAAAAAAAAGTTTATACCATGTCAATTTGTTTCTTTACGAACTTTTGTATTTTGATCTTTATGATAATTGAAAAATTAGATCAAAAAAAAATATTTAGCAAAATTTTTAGTTTTGTAAAAATTTTTCATTGTCTAAGGATTTTAAATGCAAAACCAAGTTTTTAGTTTGTAATAGAAATTTACAACATTTAAAGAATTTTACAAAATCATACATTTTTGTATATAAAAAGCATGTTAATAGTTTTATTTTTATTTTTCTGTTTTAAAATTATTTTAAGAGAATTTTTCTTTAAGATTTTAATTTTACTTATTTAGTTAAAAAAAATGTCATTGTATGTATTTACATGTATGTACATAAATTTAAATAAAAATATAAATATTTGCTGTCTTTTTAAATCGCTGTTTTACAGAAGCTAAACTATTTTAATCTATTATTTTCTTTCTTTCTCCTTCTCTCTCTCTCTTTCTCTTTGAAACTTACTCTCTTGATGTGTGTATGTATGTGTATATCTCAAATATAAATCTACCGTTACAACTACTACTACTACTACTACAACTAAACACTTAAACATTTACAAAACAAATCAACATCAAAATTTCAAACAACAGCTGAGTTTTTTACAGTGTACCAACATACATATTTTTCAGTCTCTGTAAATTAACTACAACTCTCTAAAATCTCAGTATTAAATAAGCTTTTTTATTATTTCTTAATTTTCTCTAAAACTTTATAAAATATTAATCTACTAGTTATTTTCATATCAATAAATGTACAAATTATTATAAATTTATATAATAAAAAATATAATTAGGCAAATTTATTTGTTATTAATGGTAATAAACCAGATGCAGCAGCTTTTTAGGTTGTCTAATTTTTCTCTCCTTTTTGTTGTTATTTTATTACAAAAAAATTTTAGTTAAATAAAATTTTGTTAAATAAGACTTTGGTTGTTAATTTATATATAGTACAATTTTTGTTGTTAAATATTTGTAAAATAATAAAAAAAATAGCTAAAGCCATAAAGTTATAAAAAAAAAAACAAACGCTGAAAAAGACGATCATATAAAAAAAAAGAGTTGTGTAAATGTTTTGAACATTTGTATTTACGTGAATTTAAATTTCTATTGTTTTTATGTAAATAAAAAACTCTTAATATGTGGTAGTGTAATATAACTCTTAAGCCACTCTTAAGACTCCTTTTGATTTCATTGATTTCTCTATCACTCTCTCCAACTAACTCTTTTCTTGTTAACTCTATTTTTGGATTTATGTTAAGCTTTTGACATGTAAAAGTTTTTTGTTATTAAAAAAAAAGAAGCTTAATTAAATTAATTGTTTAGAGTTTAAAAGTTCTCAGTTTTAAACTGCCTTGACTTGTTTTTCTGTAAGAAAATACTTGTCTAAAATAAAATCTGAGAACTAGCAGAAAACAACACTGCTAATAAGAATTTCAATATATTTTTCTTTTGTAAGATAAAATCGAAAATATTTATTCTCTCTTTGAATCTCTCACTCTTTTTTATTGATCTTAGATCT